CACACCAAGAAACTACTCAAAGCCAGCGTCTTCAACGACACCTTGTTCCTCTCGCAGAATAACGTTATGGACTACTCACTCATGGCTGGCTTCGACGACACAAACCGCGAAATCATTGTCGGCATTATCGACTGCATCCGCACGTACACATGGGACAAGAAATTAGAGAGTTGGATCAAGGACCGTGGCAAGAACAAACCTACAATCACATCGCCCCGCGATTACCGCAACAGGTTCAGGATCGCCATGGAAAAGTACATTCTCCAAGCACCAAATTGTTGGCACCAGTTCAGCGGCAGGCTTGTGGGCCAGAGCATGGATGGACGCAGGACGATAGGTGATAGCGGGGCTGCTGCACCAATGGAGCCAGGCCATAGGAGGGTATTCAGTAATGCAAGCACAACAGGGTCGGCGAGTGGAAGGGACATGGGCGCAACACTAGCGTGGGGCTCGGGTCCGCGTGACTCTAGAAGATTCTAAGATTGGTGAGCAGAGTTTACGACAGCAGAATGAGTCTTCTTTTTCTTTAAAAGAGAGTGATGATTAGCTAAGCATAGCGTTGGTGTTGAGGTAATTTGGTAGCTCTGGGCATTCTTCTTTCTCTCCCTTGACGAATGTTAAACCTTTTTACTTGACATGAGATTTCGATCACTGGAATTCATTGCTATCATTCTGTCATTAAATTTCCCTCGTCCTGTAACAGCTTGTTCTTGAGAGATTTGTCGAGTCTCAGCTAATATCTTGTTTCCAACATGCACAGGTTATTCGATGTCAATGAAATCCCAAAACAAGAGACAGACTGACAAGTAACTTATATACAATTGTCACAAAATAGCTATCTACACAGTAAGCGTAACCGCATGACCACATAATCATGCTAAATTTTCAAAAGACTTCCAGCCTGAAAGCTGATAGAGGAAAGGAGGAAAGGACAGACGAGAAGAAAGAATATGTACAATCCATGCGACCTAGGACCTTCTTGCTTCTTCTTCTGAAAAGGCGAAGGAGAGAAAAAGAAGACTCTGCCGCATCGAGATTTTTCACTCGCCCGCCGGGAAGCGTAGAGCTCTACTTGGTAGCAGGCTTAAGCTTGTCCAAATCCTTAGACTGAACTTGCCATCCATCAGCCTGGTAACCGTTACTGAACCACTGAGCAGCAGTCTGGTCGCCCTTGAGGGTCCACTTGGCCCAGTTAAGGATTGCGCGGCCGAACTTGCCGCCGTTTGCGTCGCCAAGGGTACCGCCATGGCCGACGGGGATGTTGCCTTTCCACGAAGGAGTACCGGCGGGGAGGTTACGGTAGTCACGCTCGCCCTGTTATCGCAATTAGCATCGCCATTTTTTTTATTGAGACAAAAGGAGGGTTTGTTGGAGAACTCACGTTCGGGTACGCAATATCACCAGTTCCACCGAGGACAAAGAGAACGGGCTTCCTCCACGACTTGGCGGCGTCGGTGTTGGACAGCAGTCCCGAACTGATGATTCCGACGGTGTCGACGCGCGGGTCGTTGAGGTTGTCGGCGGCTTCGACGCCACCGCAGGAGAACCCAGCGGCCATGATGCGGCTGGCATCGACGTTGGCGTAGCGGCCTGTGCCGGCGGTCTTGGTGATCCAGTCGATAGCTGCCTTCATGGTTTGAGCGTTGGATGAGCCGCCGCCGTTGAGGCCGCCCTCAGAGATGGCGAGGAAGCCGTTGGCGGCCATGTTACGGAGCAGAGCGCTGTTGGAGCGGCCGTCGGTGCTGCAAGCGCCATTGCCCCAGACGAGGACGGGGTACTTGCCGTTGGTCGGGTTGCCGGCGGGGAGGTAGATGGTGTGGCCTGGGAGACCGGAATCCATGTATGGATCTGTGCTACCGGATTGCTGGAAGGGAAAGTGTTAGAATGGTGGTCCTTGTCTTGTGAGATAGAGTAGTCTACGTACACGAGCTTCGAGGTCAACAGGCGAGGCTGTGACACTGCCCATGGAGGAGAGCGCCGCGAGGACGAGGCTGAATGAGTACTTCATCTTGTAGAATGCGAGCAAATGCAACCAAGCCTGTGGTGTGTAGAGAAGAAGAGAAAGGCGAAGTCGAACTTGTCGATGATCAAAAGCAACTGATTCAGAGAATAGCAGATCGTTTTTATATGTACACACAGCGGTGTCCGTTCATTTATTTTTACCCTTACCCACCCGTATCCCCGCCACCATGTTGGAAGCCCTTCATGGGTCCAAATTCCCCAAACTACATCGAACATCCATGAACACGGGTATCCACTACACCCGTCTCCACTCCCCCCTCCTTTCCAAACAAACGTTTTAATTTGTTTCAAAACCTTGTGTCTGTCCAAAGTGTCAAGGACCACTCCACTTTTTAGGTGGCCATGCAACAACATGCTCTCTCCCTATTATTTTTACCCTTCGGCCTTACTGACTCGTCGGGTGGAGAAGGGCTGAGTGGGTAAATGTCCGTGAGTGTCGTCGAAACATGGTGTGCGGGCCCGTGCGTGGAGCTTTCTATGGGGTAAAGATCGGAGGAGATGGGGGGTTGCATAAATTGGGTGTGCATGATGAAATTATCAGCGTGCTGTTATATGGGGTTCTAGTACGGAGGAACTCGTGTCCGGGTGCAGACAAACACGTAGGTATAGCTAATGGTCTTTGTTTCTATTGAGGCTATTGTTGCCAGCTGGTTGGGTCGACGCAGCATATCGGTTCTTCTCCAAATTGAATCTTTTACTACTTGGCTGGCTATAACGTATAATAATAATCGTCATTTGCGTGAGTTTCTTGATTGGGGAGGTCACGCGATTGTGACATGTCGTTTGCCAAGCACAGTAGTGCTTCTAGTGTTAATATCCCTGAAGATTTTGGTCACGGCAAACAAAGGCTTGGCCGGTGGTTAAAAGAATGGCCACCAGATGGTTGTTGTTGATATTGAGGGAATCGCGTATCGGGAAAGATCGTTCAAGATCTGGACAGTATTGTTCCGGGTGCGGGGAAGAAGGAATTAGTGCACGGCGGGGACGCAATGCAGATTGGTGTCTTGCGCCCTTGGTTAGTACGCATGCGGTTTAGAGCCGATGATGGCATGCATGACCGTGGCGTTCTGTAGAACTGCCGATGTCGCTGTTTTTTCTTCTTTCGCCGTTAAACTGTGTTTTGAAACGTTTTTATTGACAACCTGACATCACTCTAATCTTCTGACACTCTGAAACGGGGATTGGACAGTGTTCTTGGTGCACGTCGGTGCAGTTCGGTGCTTACCGTATATACTGCACTACCCTAGTACATACGCTTCAAACGTCAAGGGTATTTATGTCAACTTTATACCATCTTGTGTCCTTTGCGCGGATTACTGGCTTCTACGATTTTCCATTGGAGCATTCCAAGGGTTCTCGTCTCGTACGCCCATCCGTACTCGTCCGCTGCCAAGCGCCGAAGCTGGCCATCATGTTAATTAAATCGCGGTGTCAGGCTGGCCCGGTGAAACACCCAAACACTTGGCGAAAAAGAAGATATGCCAAGAATTCTCTTAACAAAGTATCCTTGTTTCGTGTCCATTCCTTGCTATATCGTGAGGTTATGGTTCTGGTTATATTTGCAATGGATGTTCTGTCATGTTTGCTCCACCAATAGGCCTTGCAAGGTCGTATGGTTAATTCATCCACCTGGACACCATAACAATCTGACAAATTGAAAATGCCTCTCAATCAGCCGACAGGAAAGGCTCAAAACAAACCGAGGCAGATTGTAGACCTGATCCATTCCTTCACATGTACTCAGTTCACCCTCAATGTTGAAGCATGACGACAACCTGCCATGTCGGCAGAAACGTGCTCAATATAGGAGATAGATCAGGCACTTGAAACGCCAAATCGGCGTCTGCGCCTGCACGATGTTAGCTCCCGCGATCCGAATCTCAACCAAGATACCTTACCCTGTCATTGTTGGAGCAGAAGCGCTACCAGTTGCAGCGGGCGCCGTGCTATCTTTCTTCCACGCCAAGACACCCAGCATAAAGCTAACAAACCAGAAGATTGCACTCAGAAAAGCAAAAGCCTGAACGGTATTCCACTTTCCACATAATCCCTCTCTTGCACTCATCGCGTACCAGTTCCATTTGCTTCCGCAGTGCATGATATCTTCGTACCAGTCATTTAGTAGACCAAAGACGGCAAACCAGGCACCACAGAAGAGCAGATCGCCTACAATGTGGGTGACGGGGTAAATTGCGCTAGAAATGAGCCAGATGAGAGACGCAATGACTGATATGGAGGAAATGATGGCGCTGTAAAAGAGGCGACTGAAGGGGCCGATATCATGCTCATGCTCGAGATAGAGAAGGTAAGATGACAGTCCTAGGACGACGGTTGCGCAGATGAACTGCGCCAAGCGCAATGCCATAAAGGCGAAACGGGAAATACCCATGGTGTTCTTGGTGGTGCTGGTGGTACTGATGGTGTGAAGAAGCGGGGTTTCAAGCTGAGAGTTGTTGTTGTAAGTTTTGGATTTGGTGGATAGGAAATTGTGGTTAATGTGATAGGAAAATATGGCGTTTCTCTCACTTTGTCGTTAGTAGGACTTTGAGCTTCACCTGTAGTTTACCTATTGTGCCAGGCTGACGTGAACCAATGACCTCCGATTGCAAGCAACTATTCCATATGCTATCTCACCTACTGACTGTCCATTTGCTGCATTCACACAATTCGGTCGCACGAATCCAACCTGTAGATGCCATGCCATCAATATCGGCATAGATTCCATTGAGTTGATAGGATACTAGTAGTGTTTGCTCCTTCTTGGCGTCCCAATTGAGCTTACACCAAACAGCATGGAACATATTGAGGCACAGCAAATACCCAAGACAGCGATTAAGAGAGTATCCAACTCAGATATCACAGCCGGTCAAAACAACTTCCTCAACAAGGTCAGGCCCCCCACATCTCACTAGTAACCCCTCTTCGTTAGTAATCGATCCTCTATCAACCCCCACCATGAACCCCACCATCTTCCTCTCACGTATCTTGATTATCTCTCTCTCTTCCAGCACCCCATTATCAACATGGCGACGCCTCACGCCACCATAGCCATCATCTCAATTGGCCAAATGGGGCTCGGTATTGCCTCGCTACTCAAATCACACAACTACGCCATCACCACAAACATCAGTGGACGCAGCTCTGCAACAAAAGACCGAGCCGAGTCAATTGGCATCCAACTAATAGACACAGACGAAGAGCTAGTCGCAAGCGCAGACTACGTACTCAGCATTGTGCCGCCACGCGATGCTATCGCAACGGCCGAGAGAGTGATTGCTGCCCTGGAGAAGCAGCAGCAGCAGCAGCAGCAGCAAAAGAGCACAGAAAAACCTGCATCATCGGAACAGGCAAAACGCATGCTATATTACCTGGATTTGAACGCGATCAGTCCGGATACGGTACGCAAGATAGGCGGCATGTTTGAAGAACGAGTAAAAGAAGAAGTACGCTTTGTTGACGGAGGCATCATCGGCTCACCACCTATTGCTCCTTCAGCTTCGCCAGACTCGTCAAAAGAAGCAAAAGGGTCAGATAGCCCAGGGTCAGACTGGACACGTCCTGGTGTTCCACTTTCGGGTCCTCATGAACTCCCCAGTGCACATCTCGCGTCTGTGTTGAATGTCCAGCATGTCGCCAATACCATTGGCACAGCCAGCGGTTTGAAGTGCTGTTTTGCCGCTTTGACTAAAGGCTTCACTGCTCTCTCTTTGCAGTCTTTTACCACTGCCTCCTCTCTCGGTGTACTGCCTCAGCTGAAAGACTACATGGATCAGTACAACCCCCATGCGCGGCTCAAAGCCGAAAGAGGCATCGTGGGGTGTACACACAAGGCATACCGGTGGGTTGAAGAAATGAGGCAGATAGGCGAGTGTTTTGCGGGAGATGGAGGCTGGCAACAAGCAAGTGTATTCCGCGAAATCGCAGGCCTATTCCAAGAACTCGCCGATGTCGTGGAGAAAAAAGGGAGAGAAGGAATGGAACATGTAGACGGGGTAGTCGGGATCCTAGGCAATGATCTTCAATCTACCAAACAATAGGCTACTCGTTCCAAAATAAAAATAAAACAACAACAATAACCATACTTCGATTTCAACTCTTCGTCAAGAGCTTCTTTATGAAGATGCTAGTCCATCATAAACCCCCTTCTCAGCCATAACCCAAGCCGGAATAACCTTGCCATCTCCATTCGGCAGCACCTGCGCCGCCAGCATGCCCGCAACCCCCTTTTCACGATCAACCCACCAGAAACAATTACACAGTCCCATCCACCACAGGGTGTTCGCCCCACGCCCCGTCTGGCCCGGCGCAATCGTCAAGAACCCACCAAAGCCCCAGCCCTGCGGCGGGTTCCCAGGCTGAGGATAGATTTCCTTACTCGGGTTGAGCAGCAGCGGATTCGCCGGTGCGACTTGTGCGCGGGCGAAATCCGGTTGATCGGGGATCTGGTTTTCGAACAAGAGATCGACGGATTCTTTCTTCAGAATCTGCTTGTTGGTGAGGGGACTGGTGCCGTTGTTGAGGATTGCGGCGAGGATTTTGACGTATTCTTTTGGTTTGGAGAAGAGGCCTGCGCCGCCAGATTGGAGGAAGTCTTTTTGCTTCTCGGGTGGGCATTCGAGGGGGCCGATGTAGAGGTGCGGGTTTTCGTGGAGGGTGCCCGAGGCGTCGCGCTGGTGCATGTGGGCGAGGTTCTTTTGGAGGCTGGGTGAGGGGAACATGGTTGCGCCATCGGCGGAGATGTCGAGGGGAGTGAAGATGTTTTGTTGGAAGTAGTCACCTAGGAGTTGGCCGGTTACTCGCTCTAGGATGATACCGGCCCAGTCAATGTTGACCTGTGCCATGTTTTAGCTGTCATTGTACCTTGTGCACGTCGCTATAATTGCTGATACTTACACCGTATTCAAACATACTACCGGGCTGGTTCAGCAGCTTCGCATTCAGAATGTCGTTCTTGTCTCCATGGCTCCCTTCGATGCCGTCTTGCTTAATTCTAGGGTCGGCAAACCTATATCCGAATCCTGCTGTATGGCTAAGTAGCATACGCATAGTAATATCCTTTTCTCTCTCCACAGCATTGACACCATCAGGATATACTTTCTTGTCTGCAAGTTCAGGTGCAATCTTCTTGACGAATCCGGCGTCGTCTAGAGGTATTTTGCCCTGCTCAACAAGCTGGAGTACCGAAATAACTGTGACGAGCTTTGTGCAGGAAGCAATCCAGAATAGGGTGGTATCAGCATCCATAGGCTGGTCGGAGTCGACTCCGAGGGTACCCGAGGCATGTTCGACCAAAGTCTTGCCCGATTTATCGACAGCGCGGAAGACAAGACCTGGTGAGCCGTCTTTGACAAAGCTGTCCAACGTGGCTTTGATACTCTCTATACTTTGAGGAGTGAGTGACATGGTGACAGAAATCCTTGGTTGAGATGGTGTAAGGTGAATGCAAAGGACCAGAGAGAAACAAGTCAAGACATGTGAATTTATAGGTAAAATCGCTAGTGTAACGAGGGGCAAATGCCGACATTAACGCAAGATGAGATCTACCAAGTCGATTCATTATTGAGTGGCAGTTCTATCAGCCAAGGACGTGGTCATGGTGGAGCCTATACTACCCCGCAGCGGGGATAGTCCCGAGGGTAACCTAGGATGCTTTGCTGTATCTCGAGCACACATATGTATGGTGCTAGTATTGTGTAAGAACATCGTCTTTGGACACTCACCCTACAGCACACTCATTATGTTATATACATGACTTTTGGTCGGTCGTTGAGTGGGTAGTATAGTGATGCGGACAATTGCAAGATGTAAAGTTGGTACAAAGAGTGAAGTCTGATACGGGCCAGGTAACACATCCGGTAAGCCCAAGGCAAAACGGATTCTTGGGCGTCCTTGCTATAGGTCTCAGACTCTACTTGGCACGTATTTTAGCGCTGAGATCAGGCTCGCTTCAATGCGGATCTCAATTCCTTCAGCGCAGCCATGACGAGAGGAACTGTGATAGGGCCTAGCAAAGGTAGATACACGGCGACCTTGTGCTCATCTGGAAAGTACACTTGACCAACCATGGAGCGTTCAAAAAACGCTTTCTCAGCCTCTACCTCTGCAGCCCGGGCGTGTTCTAACGCACTGGGAAACCGGCCATCTCGAAGATAGTCGCAAGCTTGATGCAGATTCGCGATAGTGCGATGTGTAGACTGGGCTACGTTATCAGGAACTGGAATAGATGGAAGCTTCTGATACACCTGAGCCAAGGCGCCCAAGGTAGAGGAAGCAGAGAAGATGAGCGAGGCAGCTCGCACGCGTTCCAGGGTTGATATGCGCAAAGGCAATGATGACGGGCTTTGGGGTAGTCCAAACAGTGAGATGAGCTGATTTGAGAAGGTGTGCATGGCGGGTGCAAGCATTTCTGCAGTAAGCTCGGGTGGCGTATCTGACTTCCCTTCTAGGTTAAGGATATGGACACCTCCCCACTGTGGAATAAGCCAGCTGTTCCCACCATTCTCTTTTACTAGTAGTGGCGATTGTGCATGGTCCGGGACGTAGAGAATAAAATTGACAGTTGGTCCGTCGCCAATGCTGGGGCTTAGAGGCCACTCGGCAGCGTTTACAAATCCACTCAGATCTTCCTTGCGGAGTGTCCACGCCTTTTTTTCTTCGTCAAATTCAGGCTGTCGAATCGAGGGTGTGTAGGTAGCATAAAGCTGGACTTGAGTATCGACAGTGAAGTTGCTAATAGCTGACAATGCTTCCAAGAGGGGGCTCATGTATTTCTCGAGTGCTGTCTCAATATCCCATTTCGAAGGCGCATATGACGGGCTGAAGAGGGAAAAGGTCAAATGGTATGTGGGAGCATACTTGAGAGCGCGAGTGGACTGGCGTTGGAGCTCAGCGGACGTTTCAGGGGAGAGGGCTTTGATCTTGGCAGCATGTGCACCAGAGGAAGTTGAGAGTACGTGAGCCAATTGGGCCTGCTCTTCAGCAAAGATGTTGTGTAGCTCTTGAGCGAGAAAGGTAGCCAGGCTCGAGCCGGTTGAGGATTGTGAAGGGATTTGATTAGGCGAATAATAAACGTCCAGCGTAGGAGAGTAGGGCTGCAGCTGCGAACGGGGCGTGGTGCCGGTTTCGACAGGTATCAGGCGGATGACTAGGACAACGTCCGTGTCGTCGCTAGGAATGCTTGTTCCGTCACTGATTACTACCTGCTGAGAGGCATTGGGCCGTAAGGGCGGATCGGCGAGCATCAAACGGAGATGGTGTGCGGAGAAGTCGTTAATATCGTCGAGAGCATGTTGGGTGGTGCGAATGAGGTGCTGAGCATCGAGTGAGGGAATTGGTGCCTCGACAGCTATGCGCAGAGGGAAAACTGGCTTGCAGACCTGCAATCGTGTCAACTTGGGCCACGGAGATTGGATGCGCGCGACGTAGAGCATACCTTTGCCTCAGCCCAGTCTGTCATCTCCTGCAGTGGCAATTCTGCCCGGTAAATGGCTGTAGTCTTCAGCCATACTGGCAGTCCCAGCAACAAGACGACAGCCCAAAAGGAGACAATTGACCATCGTCGTAGCCACAGGCTTTCCTTTGTCTCTGGCGGAGGCTGCCTCTGCGCCTTGGCAGCCAATTTTGGTGTCTCTGAAGACGAGGACAGTGGCTGCTTTGAAGCGCCCGTCGGCGACGCGTCAGTGTCTGTTGGTGCCGCCATGTTGCGGTTGGGGTTGTCAAGGTCGCATTCTGGACGATGTCGCGCCATGATGCGCGTCCGTGCGCCTCTCTCCACTACGCCAGCCAGCCCACCATGTCATCACCCATCAGCCAGTTGACGTATGCCAGGATGAATCGAGCCACGATGACGACTATTCAATCGTCTTGTACAGGAAGCCATATTCTTTTCTATTCAGGGTGGTATTTCAAAGACTCCACGTCATTGCCTATCTTGTTCTCAAGTATCATGGCCAAGACGCTGCAAAACTCACCCTTTCCGGCCGCCTTGCAAGCCCCTGCACTATATCTGGCACTAGATACGTGCAAGGCCTAGGTCACTATCTAGGAGCCATCAGTGCCCTGCGCCTCTTTCGAGGGTTGGCTACCATGTCATTGTAAAGTCTTAGTAATCTGCTTTCAGTTCAACTTTGCAACCGCCAACGCATAGAGGAGGGAAAGAAAGACGGATGCCAGGTCAGGGTACTATGCTGATGTTCATCTGTATGTCACCAACGCTTTCTGAATAGGATTAGTCTTCGTTCTGTTGCAACTAGACGTCGCGTGGCATGGGTAGCCTGTGAACGGCTGGTCTGTGCGCGATGGTTCGGATGAATGTCCGCGTCCGCAACATGGCCTGCAGGCAATGGCACTGCATCCCCTGGCATTGCCATGCACACCTGTCGTCTTGGGGCTCCGAGATGCCTGCTATTGCCAGAGCGTCGAGGAGACAGGCAGGCCAAGCAGGCACGCGGATAGCCTCTGGGTCTGCCCGAAGGCTCAGTGGTCCGCAACTGGGATCGCCCTGGAGCCCCGCTCGACCATGCCGGTTTGGGCAGTCTCGCGGTCCGTGCGATGCGGGGTTGCATATCTGGGGAAGGGACTCGCCAGACAGTGACGCGGTGCTCACGAGATCGAGGACAGCTACCCCTCTCGGCTGAAAGAGCTTTGCTCGCTCCAGCTGCTGCGTCTCTCCTTCATATAAAACCTTGATGTTCCATCCTTTCATCAACTCAATCCATTCCATCCCTTTCACATCGAATCATTCAAGATGAGTGCAGTTGCAGACAACACCGATGGCCGCGTCGAGCAGGTCAAGGTGTTGTTTGCTCTCTTTGACAAGTACAACACGCTCGACGTGGCCGGCCCCCTTGAAGTGCTGAGCCGTTCCCTCCAGGACCCCAAAGACCCGAGTAAGTCAACCATCTAGATCTCCTACCTGCTTCTCCATGAGCTGGGCTATCGTCGGCCAATTGGTCTCTGGCTGACATGCTGTAGCCAGCAAGGCCTTCGACTGCCAGTTCGTCGGCACCGCAGCGGCCATGACCTCCGTCCAGGGTCTCACCATCAAAGCCGACATGGACTATGAGGTATGTGGCTCCCTGCAGCACCCCCCAAAGCCGTACTGACTCAATGGCCCAGGATGCCAACAACGAGCTCGATGATTTCGATGTCATCATCGTTCCCGGTGGTGAGGGTGTGTTCGAGGTGCTCAAGAATAAATCTGAGCCCCTGAACCTCCTCACCAAGTACGTCGAGCTTCAAGAGAAGAACCCCGTCAAAGAACGCACCATCCTCGCCATCGATGTGGGTGCCCTGCTCCTTGCTCAGCAAGGCATGCTCGAGGGCCTCGCTGCTACAACTCACCCCGACTACTACGTCCGCCTCGAGACCATCTGTCAAGACGCGGCCAGGCGGGACATGTCCATGCGGACCGATGTCATGGAGGAGCGATACGTCGTCAACAACGCTCGCTTCGACCTGGGTGAAAACCCTGAGGAGAACCCGTGAGTCAAACATCCGCTGCTTTGATATGCCACCAGCTGACCCTTGTAGATACATCATCAAGAAGTCTCGCGAGCCTCAGAGCCCTGTTGAAGGCACCAACATGGGTCACGCTCGTCGTAAGTCGATAGCTCGCAAGGGCAGCAATGCTTGGCGTGACTCTCGCCGCCGCGAGTCCATCGCTAGGCGTGCCTCCATGCCCCTTGGCGGTATGCGTGTCATCACCACTGGTGGTGTGACTGCTGGTCTCGATGCCAGCTTGTATTTGGTAGGCTCTCTTGCATCCCACGACTCGGCCCTGGAGGTCGCCCGTGTTATGCAGTATACTTGGGTCAAAGGCGTTACGGTCGATGCGATCGATGTTTGAGCTACGGCGTAACGCAAGAAGCGAAGGCGTTAATATGGGCTGGGTAGTACAGAGATCTAAGAGATCATCTGGAGCATGTCGGGAATCGTAGAGATTGACCACGACGAATCATGTGAGGATTCAACAAGGAATGTAAAGATTAAGAAGTGTCTGAATGCTCTGCTTTGGTGTGATGTTGTTGGGATGGAGCGTTGTTGACGGCAAACGAGCCGACGCGCTTGTACCCATGGCTCCACTCTCGTCCCAGCCCCTCTCTCAATCGCTTCTAGACTTGCACGTGGGAGCGTCTGCATCTGTGGTTCATCGCAGAGACAGGTGAGAGAACCCAAATAGCCAATCATAGCCTCCCAGTGACATGCACCCTCAGCTCGACCGCCAAACTGAGCTCGCGTCTGCACGCTGTTGTGCTGCGCTCATATCTCTCTCCCAGTAAAGCCATGGAGTTTTAGAGCGAATGGCATCATCGCTTGAGGCTTGGCTTGAGCCATGCCAACGACAACAAAGGCCATCTTGTTCAAACACCTTTGATCCTACATTCAATCTCCTATACATGATT